TAACTAAAACAGACAAGACATGAAACAAGAACAGAGAAAAACATTTTAGTATATAAAACTGAGGAAATATAAGATAGTCTGAATGAACCTAAAACTCAAGTCAAATCAGGAAAGGCTCTCCGATAAAAGTCTGTTTTAGGAAGGGACTTAAAAGTGATCACTGACTCGGCTGACCTGATTTCCTCGGGTGGATTGTTCCACAGCCTCGGGGCCCTGACAGCAAACGCTCTGTCCCCTTTAGTTTTCACCCGGGCCTCTGGAAGACGCAAAAGACCTCTGTTGTCCGAGGACCTCAAAATACGTCCTGGCGTGTACAATACCAAGAGGTCAGAAATATAGCTGGGAGAGAGAGAGAGAGAGAGAAAGAAAAACAGTGGATTTAATAATAAAGACTAAATAATTTAATCCAATGAATCACTTTATTCAAACTGAGGATTTTATTCAGAGATTTTTTGATTTGTCAAAATATGACACAAAATATGATGACAGACGTTTGAGGCTTTATTCGGAAACCTCAATACAAGCTTCGAATGTAAAGATAAAAAGATATTTGTCATAGAAAGATGGACGACATGACAGCTCCCTCAAAGTGAAGCCATAACATCTCAGTCACCCCTGTGTGGCTGGTTGCAGAATAGCTCATAAACCCTGTCCCCTCCAGATTAGTGGATAGGACATGGGCCAAACTAAAAGATCAAAGATGGTTTCTGTCATTTTATGTAGTTTCTCATGATGCTGATGTATGTTCAGTTGTTCATTTTGCTGCTGAGTTTAGCTTTAACTGCTTATTTCCACGTCCCCAAATAAGGGAGTTCAAGTATCTTGGGGTCTTGTTCACAAGTGAGGGTAGAATAGAGTGTGAGATGGATCAGCGGTTCTGTGCGGCGTCTGCAGTGATGCAGACATGGCACCGTACCATCGTGGTGAAGAGGGAGCTGAGCTGGAAGGCAAGCTTTCAATTTACTGGTCCATCTACGTCTTAACCCTCACCTATGGTCATGAGCTCTGGGTAGTGACCGAAAGAATGAGATTGCAGATACAAGCGGACGAAATGAGTTTCCTCCGTGGGGTGGCTGGGGGGAGGAAGCTCGGAGTAGAGCCGCTGCTCCTTTGTGTCGAAAGTAGTCAGTTGAGGTGGTTCGGGCATCTGACCAGTATGCCGCCTGGGCGCCTCTTGTTAGAGCTGTTCTTGGCATGTCCCACTGACGTCACCAGCGCAAGATGGCATCCGCCATATCCGGGATACTTTGGCTTCATTTTTGTTTAGTGGGAGGAAGTAGAGATGTGTCCATCTTTTTATATAGTCTATATAATCTAAAGAATGGATGTACTTTATATGAGGAGCTTTGAGATTTAGCTTCTCATTTTTGTCGCTGTTTCGATGATGAGATGAGTTTTATATATATCAGTTTTGCTAACAAACCAAAACTTTTATTAAGTTCCACACATGCTCACACATCGATTGCAGTTATTGGTGAAATGACCCAAACGTGTCCTCTACCAGTTATTTCTGCATGAAATACTCCTCTCCTCTAGTGGAAGGAAAGCAAGTCTGGAAGTAGGGCAGGACTTTGGCTTATATTTTAAGTTTAAAAGATGCATAAGGGGATTTATTCCCAGTACTTGAATTATGTTCAACAATAAAATGATGCTGGCTATCAAAGCAAACACCCAAATGGTGACACATAGTAGCACCATCATCAGAACACCTAGCCAGTCTAACCTACATTTGCAGAAGACAGCATTTCCTAAAATAGACCTTGTTTTATTTGACTGAAGGGAACAATGCACTCAGCTGTAAAAGCTTTTTTTTTCCTTTTCCGACTGCAAAACAGTTCATTCTTAAAACAACTAAAAATAACCCAGCCTATGTTTTCCTCATCATTGTGCCTGCAGACTCTCCATCACTCTCCCCTCCTCTCCTCTGTGCTATTTTTAGTTGCCCCCAGGATCCCCCATGTTCGTGTTTGTCATTTTCTCTCCTCTTTCCTCCTCCACTCCCTTCTGTTTGGCTCTGCTGCAGCCCTAGAGGATGCTTGGCACCTCGGCATCATCTGTACTTAGGAAGATCACACAAAGGGGACATGGGTACAGCAAAGGGTAGATTGACAGATGAGTAAGAGAAGGAATTAATAGTATTGTCAAAAGAACAAAAATATTTGCCTAAAATAAACTTCTCTGCAGGGATATTTGTATTAGACATTGCAGCAGCAGCGCAAACAACATTTCATGAAAGCGGCTACGATCAGGTGTAGTGCTCGGCAATACGGTTGACTGTGATCTGTCTTGGAATGTCCATGTGAGTTCTTACAAGGATCCATCAGCGACTTTACTTTCTGCGCAGACTCAGGGTGTTTGGGGTTGGACAGAGGGTAATGATGTTATTTTATCATGCTGTGATAGAGTATATTACTTTACAGAATATCAGCTTGGTTTGGTAATAATCAGTTACTTTGAATCACAAATAAACAAACTTTTCTACACTGCAGAGAAAGTGAAGAGGGTGAGGGAGCACCAGTCCAAAGGTTGGATCGTTGCATCTCTAGTTTAAATAATAGAACAAATGAGACTAAAAACACCAAATAATTCTTAGTTTCATTCATTTCAGTGAGATCAGCGCATTGACAAATTGGGGGTGCCAACACAGAAGTCTCTTGCAAAAAAAAAACCCCCAAACTACTGAGTCTTCCAGCAAAAAAGTTGGCTCAGCTTTTTTGGCCAAACTTTTCTTTCAACACAACATCATTTAGCGAGACACTGCAATGGCCAATCAAATACATCCAAGCACTCATTCCCAGTATTATACTCAGGCTATCTCATTCACTGTTTGCACTTACACGTATAAAAGTACAACCCGTTCCCACTCCCAACTCATCAAACACTGATACTTGGTCAGTGGCCCATTGGCGCCAGACACCCATGCACAGAGGCACCCTTTAGTGGCAGCATGAGATGACCCAGGCGGTGGCATTTATTGACACTCTGGGCAACTTCTGTAGTGTAAAGAACAAGAACGTTTGCATTGGGCGGGAGGGGAGGTGGATGGGTCAAACAAACGCTGGACTTTCACCCAGGAGCCTGCTGTTTGTGTTCAAGATTCGCACCACAAAGTCCTTGTAACGATGCATGTAACGAGTGTAAATTGACACACCATCCCTGAACGTCTAAAACTGACGCAGGAGGGTACCTAGTGCATCATTTTTGGACGTGTTGGAATTTGATGAGCTGGGAGTGAGAATGTGTTGAAAAGTAATGCACTATAATTAGTTTATAACCCAAGAAAGTCGTGAACCAGGGGACTAACATCATGTGACCTATGCATTGCAGGTAGTCCTTCATCATACGATGGGACGCCCAACCATGATTCTTTTCCTTAACCTAACCTAACCGGTAGTGACACAATTTTGTGAGCTATTGTGGTGGTAATTCATAAGATATCATACAAAGCGTTGAAGATATGGTGTGTTCTACTGTTTACTTGACAATCATCAAGACGATGAGCCATGCTTTTCTTTTTCTCTTTCATGGGGCCTCTTGGGTGAGGGATGCTGACTTAATTACTCTAGCTTCTATAGATGGATTTCATCCTCTTACATTACCTATCCTAGTGTATAAAAACAATTAATTTTTAATATCAAACACTAAGTCTGTAAATTCTGCTGAGTCTGGCAGCAGTGCACAAATAACACCAAACCACGATTGCATTTCTTCTCTCAGTAGCGTTCTAATCTTTCGTCGACCTACACTGGTGTTCTTTTTTTTTTTTTTTTGAATAGAGACTGCACTTATGTTGGTGTGCCTTGCTGATTTAATGAGCCCAAGAGTCTTACCACGCAATTACACCTAAAATCTTCAGATGAAGAACAATACACAAGGATAAGATGCTCTTTAAGCCGGGCCTTCCAGGTTACACGGGGACATATTCTAACGCCCTGACTCTCCATCCCACTCCCATCCACTTTTTGTTATATTTAGCCAGAGGTGTGATGAATAGTTCCTTCTGAAAGATGGGAATTGCTAAAAATAGGCCGCTGCTGCTGCTGCTGCTGCTGCTGTTTGTGCCAGGCAGTTCCAGGGCATCCGTTCGCTCGACTGCCACTGATGACAGAGAGGACCTAACTTTCCCTCTCCTCCTCTCTCTATTTGTCCTCCTTACTCACCTCGACTGCTCTCCGTGTACCTTTTCCTGCAGTACATCTATCTACGCTGACATTCAGCCCTTTACCCTTGAAAGTCAATGCGTCTTATTTTTCTAAAGCTTTTTTGTGCTCGGGCCATCATTGCTGCACTTCCCAGAGATCAGTTATCCGTCAAACAGCCCACAACTCTGACATCTCTATCATCTGGTTTCTGTGGTGCTGAAGCTCCTGGAGGTGGCGCTATTTGTCTGTTCATTCAGTTCAGTTTTTGCAGTGTTGAAATTTGTTTCCCTTTGTGTTCTGTTTTCATCTTGATTTCACACCAAGGAAGATAAAGAATAAAACCTCCTCCTATGAGTCTAGTCTTCCTGGAAGAGTGGAGGCTGTTACAGCAGCAGATTAATAGTTTGGTTCTGTGATGAGATGTCCAACGATCAAATGGGTGTCCGTATACTTTTGCCCATATATCAGAGACTTTTATTTCAATGACAAACACTCAGTATTCAGTGTTTAATTATGTCTGTATGTTTAGTGTAGTGCTTGTCTCACTGTTTGTTGTCTATATTAATTTTTCATCCTGTTGTATGGATTAATCTCGCTGATACATTAATGTAGAACGATAAAAATGTACAAAGACAGTTTAACTGTGCTCACTCAGTTTTAATGAACAAGCCAATTGAGCCCTCGTTTAATGTTCATGGAACAATCCATAGGCTACCTTTTACTTGTACTGTGAATTTGTCACTGAATACAGACAGGCATGTCTTGCTTTATTAAATACTGTGTATTAATATTTGATCGGATCAGTATACACAGTACTTTATCCTGCTAATTTAGTCTCTGTCTTTTTTGCCCTTGTAGTTGTGACAGGAGCCACAGATGGGATTGGGAAAGCTTATGCGGAGGAGGTAAGAATCCATGGACTTCTTACCTAACCCCTAACCCTTAACCTCTAACAAGAGAAGGAGGCAGTCAGGTGGAATTCATTTTTGTGTCGGTCAAACACATGTACGCAACATTAAATCATTCATAAAGGTGTGCTTGAAAATAGTTTTGTACCTTTTAAATGTTGGTTATGGTGAGCTTGGACATTTACATTTGTATTTGTAATTACCTGTCACTTCTGTTTTGGATGGTTTTACATTCATCGCTTGCAGATTTATTTACTTGAGTCTGAATATTTTGGCTTCTATGAACTGCAGAGTTTGTACATTTATATCCATGCCTTCAAGCCTTATTTAATTCCATTTCAACGTAACCATTTAGAAATGCTAGAGAACGTCGCCTTTACTCAGAGGTTCCAAACCGTATTAGTCTGATGTATCCCCACAGCCCTGTTAGATGAGCTCAGGTATACCTTTAATACCGTACTTTATGTTCCAAATGTTTTATTTTTAATTGATTTTAAACTAGATGCCATTTAACATTAAAGAAAAGTGCATATTATTTTACAAAATTCTACTACTGAATGATATTTAGATCAGTTTAGTCAAGTATTCATTCATACTGCTGTTAGAATGGCAGAAGCTGGATATTTGACCATTTATCCATTATTTTTGCAAACTATTTGAACAGTGAAACTTTAAGTTGTATTTTATTGATTACCTTAGCTTTTGATTTCAAACATTTGTCCAAAACTTCAACTGTTACAACTTCTCTGTCTCTTCTTCTGTTTGTCCATTAAAGAGATTCAACAAATATTTAACAAAACAAAATCAACCACAAATTACACATTTAAACAGCTCCCTCAGTCGCAAAATCCTAAATGATTGAGTTGGGGTTTTTTCCACCTGGACCTTTATGCTCTGCCATTTCTCCTCTAATCATCACGCTGTAACCTGTGACAGGCTGTTACGATACCACAACTATTACACATTCACATATATGTATTTTTTTGTCGAGCCGCGAGCGTCACGTAGGTTTACATTACCAAAGGTTTATGACAAAATCACTTGACGACACCGACTCCCGTGTGTGCACGGTGAGAGATGAGAGGGAGAGACGCTGTGCTGCTGCCAGAGGAGCCGCTGAATGAGTTCCCTCTGAGTAGTAAGTCACTAAAAGAGTCTGAGAAGTCCGGGGCTGTTCATAAAACATTCAGGACGCCACAGTTTATTCCACACTACTGAAGCTGCTCCTCTTTTTGGAACCACTGCAGAGTCTGTAATAATTTCGCTTTCAGCCATGCTTGTTGTTGCTGTGGGTAACAGTATGACGTCAATATGTCAAAGTCGAAATATCGCAAGCATCACGATGTGAATTTTTCATATGATGTTAAAAATTATAAAAATTATACTGGTATTATCAAGAACAAGATGATCTGGCACATCCCTATTCCAAAGACTCTCATTGGTCGCTTACGGGTAACCTTTTTTTCTGTTGTTGCACAGGCAGACCAAATGCCTGTGCATGTTTCAGTCACAGTTTGAAGGCATGGATCTGAGTGCACAAACTTGTGAAGTAAACTTTTAAGATTTCTGTAGACTTGTAAAAATTAACCTTTTTTGATTGAATGTTTGCAACAGAAACTGTAAATCAGATGTTCAAGTTTACAGAACAAGGAATACAGTCACAAAGCTCTATTTTCAAGCTCACCTTAAATGATTCAATACTCCATGAACACACTCTTTTGTTCAGTGCCACTCCACTCTATTAATATCTTCAGATTGACTACTAAAATAGTACATGTGTGAAGTGCACAGGTGTCGCCTTTGTTGACATGCTCTTTGTGTTTGCAGCTTGCCCGCAGAGGCTTTGCTATCGTGCTGATCAGCCGCTCTCAGGAGAAGCTGGATGACGTATCCAAGGCCATCGGTGAGTAGCACGAATCTTTTGGCCTATTTATTTTTTTGAACACGCAGCGTAAAGGCAGACAAATATTGCCAGGCGATGGAAATGAATGCACAGTGACGATTTTTGTAGACAATTGCACATAAATCAAAGTGAAGTACAGCTTGTAGCTCAGTATATTTAATCCATCAATGGAACTAATCCCACATCTTGCAGTCGGGGGAAATCAGCAGTACCTGTGATCCAGAGGTACAAGACTAATGTATTTCATGTGTTAAGTATGACGGCTGCAGGAGTGGAGTTCAGTCCTAATGATCCGTGCTGCTGTTCAGCCTCATTCATCCTGAACCCAAAATGTTGCATCCATATTGCACTGTGTGATAGTCCAGTAGGGCTAAATGACGAACGACTAAATGATATTGCATTGAATTGCGTGTTTTTTCATAAGTGATCCTTTTATAGAGTGGAGATTCAGCAGGACTCTTATGCTCTCGGTTACGAGGCAGTAAAGCCTCCTGCTGGAACTGAAAGTGAATCTGTCCAATTAAATGAAAGCTTCCTCTTAAGAGAGGTATATCCTCATTGATGAAGAAGGATTATTTCAGGGTTTAATTATTTTTTCCTCTGCTCCGGTCCTCCCTTTCCAAGTGACTATTTGTTGCCAATGTGGTCATTCATAAAAGCTTTACACAAGTGAGCGCTCATATATTTCATTGCCTCTTTTATATATATGCAAATGTTTTGTGCCCTCAGCGAGCAAATGTGGCGTGGAGACCAAAACGATCGCAGCAGACTTCAGCACCGTAGATATCTACTCTAAGATTGAAGCTGGACTTGCAGGACTGGAGATTGGAGTTTTGGGTAAGAGTGCAGCAGGTGCTTAGGCCACGTCACATTTCATAAAATTTAATTAGTTAGTCATATGAGATGGCAAATTCATTCTGAATCACTGCCTAAAGACATCAGCGATGCTGTAAAATCCACTGAGTTAAATGTAAGTTTTTACATGTCATGATAAAGGTTAATTTATCCTGGCTTCTTCAGCCCTTTGCTGCCCTCCTAAGATTGGAAAGAGGAATAACACTCTGAACTCCACATTACAGAAATGTAATCTTCTTTTCATCCATCAGTTTCACATTATGCAGTGTTTTGAACGTGCTGTTGTTTTCCTCTTGTTAACAGTGAACAATGTTGGAATATCTTATACTTACCCTGAATTCTTCCTCAACGTCCCCAATCTTGACAAGGTAAGTTAAAAGTTTATTATTATTGCTCTGTTATCCATGAATGTGTAACTGTTTGTATCACACAAGCATACATAGAATAAAATGTTGTTAAATCATTTCCCAAGATAGTAAGGAACAGAAGTGGTAATAATGGCACATTTCAGTGACATATAGTTTATGTCACTTTATCTTTGTTGTTTTTAATTTTTAATTTTAAACCAAGCACAAGTATGATGCAGAACAACCACTGCTCCATCCAGCTTAATCTTGGCAAGGTGCTGGAAACACCAATAAGTCCAACCTGGCAGAAAAGATTTCCACACACTTGATTTGATTTGATGTGATTCGTTTATTGAACATTTAAAAAAGTAATAATGAAATAAGAGAATATATTGTCAAAAACAAAACAAAACCGAAACAATAAATCATGAACTGGCGTACAATGAGAAACATAAATGAACATTTCATGTCCTAAAAGGAGCAGGAAGAAGCAACATGGTTGTCTAGCTCCACCCCCAATGCCAAATTATACTAATACATCACTAATCGAACTGTTACATAGACACACTCTCCTCACCATTGATCAACAGCACATTTACACCACTGCACCTCTTAATACTTGATAACCAATATTACCCCGTGTATAAAACAAATACCAAAGTACGAATTAAGAATACCGACAACAGTCTCACCCTGAGTGTGCTTTACACTCCCTCTAATCATTTCTGTACCCTGTGAAGATCCTGTCTTTGTACCTCTCTTTAAACTGTCTGATATCTTTACTTTGTCTAATTTCTTCACCCAGTGCATTCCACAAAATCACCACACAAATTAATACACAAATACTTTTCAAAATGGAGGGAAAACAGCGTTGTTTCAAATGTAATCTACCTCTTAATTTGTACCCCCCTCTCTGTCCAAGAACATTTTTTATACTTAAGAAGTTATTTCTTGCTTTGTACATGACATGAGGCAAGATGACTTCCATCTATTGAGTGTTTCAGTGGAAGTATCTGTAAATAGTCTGACAGGCAGTCAAGAAGTAACAGAGATGTGTGCGCCTGCAGGTTAGATTCTCTGTCTGTACATTTATACATTATTTTGTGCATTTGTTTTGTAATTTAATTACTGTAACTAGTTGTTCCCCAACCCTACACTGAATAGACAAGAGGAGCCTCATGTGCAGATAGACAAAATTGAACTGCACTAACGTGGCCAGCTGAGTAAGACCTCATCAAATATTGTACTTTTTTAAACTGTAAAATAAAATAGTTTTTAATGACATAATGTAGATATACTATCTTTGCTTACCTAAAGCAAGCCAATGTGATTTTTGCTGGCTACTGTGGCAAATACTGGACAAGCAAAGTGTAGTAGCACAGTAGCACAAGTAGAGAGGAGTCATAATTACACAGCAGTCACTTCCTAAAGTTTTCAAACGTACCGGTCATACCAGACTAGGAAAGGTTGTAGAAGCAAAATGTGATTGAGCAGTGTAGACTTTTATTGCTTAGGAGTTAAACTTTCCATTTGTTAAACAATATGTGCTGTTTCCTCTTTAAAGAAGTTACACAGAACTGCCTTCCTCATTTCAGCAAATAATTTCTACCATCTTGTGCTGAGACAAATCACAAAATAACATCTTAAATGCCTGAAGCTGACACTTGACGACTAAAGTCTACCTTTCTTCTGAACAATATGTGTAAGTGAAGGCATAAGCACACGACCCAAGTTGTGCTAATGTTCCTGTTCTTCTTGTTTCAGTTCATCGACACCATGGTCAACATTAACATCACATCAGTGTGCCAGGTGAGTGTTATTATTCTGTTTATGTAATTTAGGCTTTTTGATTTAATATGTAATGTTTTTGTTGTGCAAAGGAGGAAACATACTGAAGTTAATAATTGCAAAAGTACAGGGCTGCAACTTATTATTTTCATTGTTGATAATCTGTTACTTTCTTGATTAAATGTTTTGTATGGAACATTCAGAGCATTAATACAGCAGCAAACCACTTTTTGCAATGTAAGGATGTCGTGGCGTAATGGCATCCTGGGCAGAAAATGAAGTCACACTACCAGTGTGTTATAATCTAAGCTTCCCTGTGGTTTACTGTGGTAAGCCGGTCCAGCCAGGCGAACATGTTAGTGCACCTGTGCATCCCACTGGCTAGTTTATCACTGGTGGTATGCATGATATGGCAGATACCGCTGATAACTTGATGGCGTAGTCGCCCACCCTCTGGTTCCCCGCGGTTAACACCGTTAGCTTTGACAGTACTGCTGCTGCTGTCAGCACGTTTTATGGAGTTAGCTCAGCCACCTCCATATTGAGAACCGTGTACAGGCCACTCATACACTCTGAATTTCACAGAGAGCCACTTTTGTCAATAAAATGCCAGAAAATGGTGAAACATGCCTGTATAATTTCCTAGAGCCCAAGGTGACGTCTTCAAGTGGTGTGTTTTATCCGACCAACAGTCCAAAAAAGTCCAAAACATTCACTTCATTAAAGTGTATGACAAAGAAAAGAACCAAACAGCAAATGTTTGGCTTGTTTGTTTCAAGAAGTTACTAAAATTAGTATTTGATTATCAAAATTGCTGCCAGATTATTTTCTGTTGCTTGATTAATTAATTAATCGACCAATCATTCAGCTCTACGTAAGTATTTCTCCTTCAAGTTGGTAATGACTGGAGGAACCTTTGGCAGGACAGCATGTATGTGACACTGCAGGTTTCACCAATGTATCCTTGAAAAACTGTTCAAGTTCATAAGAATTAAAAATGACGAAGTTAAAGATGTGTGAAAATGTTCTCAATACTCTTACATGGTCAACTTGGAGATCCCCAGCAGAGATTATCTTAGATAAGTGGTTCAGTGTGCACATCCTGGGCTCTGTGGATACAGACTTGTAAATGTTTGTCATTGAGACGTCTGGGTTTCCTTTGAGTAATTAAGTTTGTCCAAGTGGATTCAAATGGCTGAGATAGTTTGAGCTCCGACGTCAGGTAGTCCCACAGACCGATAAAGACACACACACACAGCACAATGACAACGCATAGTCAGTCACTTCTGTCCCTCTTCTCCATGTTCGGCAGCTCCCAGAGCAACAGCTAAAGTCCACCTACTCTCTTTACACTTAATTTATGTCGTTCAATATTTCTCTGAACTGCTCCCTCTGCTATCATTATCATTTCCTCTCTCTTTTTGTCTTCTCTCCCCAACCACCTCTCCAAACACAACCCACGCTCACACTCGTTTACAAATGTGGATGTACACCTCCGCACACTTGTCCACCACCCACACATATTAACTGACTTTTTTGTCGGATGCTTTCACTCTCTCTCTCACACTTGTCACTTTCTGTCTCTCTTTCCGTTGTTTTTACAGATGACTCGTCTTGTTTTACCACGAATGGTGGAGAGGTACGTTTATTTGACTTTCACACTAACATATTACTGGTGTCTGTGAACCTTCAGTAACTAACGCCAGCACAAATGAATAAAGGGACAGTCCACCCCAAAATGCATAATATTCCTCTTCCCTGTAGTGCTGTTTATCACTCTAGATTGTTATGGTGTGAGTTGCTGAATATTGGAGAAACCTGCCTTCTCTTTAGTTTAATGGAACTAGATGGCACTCGGCTTGAGGTGTTCCGTGTGCCAAAAAAAGACGTTAACAGCAATGTCTCATTCCAGAAATCACAGCCCCTTTACTCAAGATAATCCACAGACTTTGTTGTGAGCAGTTTCATGTAGGAACTATTTTCTTTCTATCGAACTACACCCATCAATGGTATCACTGCCCCCAACAAAGAATTTTCCTAGTTCACCAGTAGTTGTCACTTAGGGCCATTAGTCGACTAGAAATACAAAACCGTACTAATGAACCTTCATTAATATAGGCCTATATTTTATCTACAAGTGCACGTCACACACTGAGCGAGCCACCTGTTAATGACGCTGTGGGCTAATGGGCATGACGCTTCTTCCATGTTTCAGATGATACGTCGTGTTTGTAGTTGACCAATGAAGATGAGTTTAGTCAGAATACATGCACATCTTTTAAGTCTTCGCTTCAGCTGATTTCCACAACTCTAATATTTTGTGTTGTAGCTGAGCAGATTTAAGTTTCAAAGCTGTCATGTGCTTGGCCATCAGATACACATAGAAAATTATTTTTTTCTCAAACCATCATCCATCTCTACGTCTGATTAAATATTGTATGAAAGCACCACAGGCTGGAGCAAAAAAACCCATCAGCTTGTAAACATTCAGGTATTGATGTTACAGTATCTTTGATCAATATTTCCCAGCTTTTCTTTGATGTACAACAAGAGCTATTTTGCCTCAGCTTGCAAGCCCACATCGTACCATGTTGTCCTATCATTGTGGGATTGATCTCAGGCTGAAGTGTTTGCTGCATGTCTCCTGTGTGTTTCCAGAAAGGCGGGCGCCATCCTCAACATCTCGTCTGCCAGTGGGATGTACCCTGTTCCTCTCCTCACTGTCTACTCTGCCTCCAAGGTAATTGCAGTACATGGTTTATGACCTTTTCTTCAAGCGTTAACCGACGCAGATGCATCCCTGCATCATAAACGGCTTACATTGTTCCATATACTGTGAGGAAAAAATCATATTTGTCCTTGTGTTATGAATTGTTCCGTATAATCCACCAGCATACTACTGTACATTGAGGGCAAACTTATCTGCTGATGACGACGGATGTTAGATCAACATTTATCTGGGTGGAGGCACTGTCCTTTTTCATATTTGCTGTTTTAATTGTTGGATATAAATAAGTCGCTGACTAACTCAGGTCCCGAGGTAGTGTACCAATTAAAAATGTTTATAGGAGCATGTGGCATCATAATGTTTTATAACCGTCTCATGTGTGTTTGTTAGCTTAAAAACAGCCTGCTGTTCACACTTTCAGCTGATTAATTTGCTGGTGTCTTTATACTGGGTCATGTTTATCTACTACGTCCTGGTGTCTGCGATGCAAGTGCATCCAAAATCCATCCAGGGTAAATCTTTACTTTAATGCTCAATTTAACGATCAACTCAGTTCATTACACCTACCATTAACATTGTGAGAGCACACTGTACGTGAACTCTTTGTGCACTTTTCCTCTTTGCTAGTTTTTGCACTGCAGATTTTGTGTTGAATAGGTTCTTGTTCTTTAAAGAATTGAAGTCCAGTGGCTTTTTGGTGTTTGTTGCAGTCTTTTTCTCACTGAAATTTTTATCTTACATAGGCATTTGTGGATTTCTTCTCACGAGGACTGCAGGCAGAATACAAGAACAAAGGCATCATCATCCAGGTAAATCATGAACCAACCTTAGTTCTTCTGCTACAAGCCCAGTTTGGTGGTTCATAACTGTAGTCCTTTTGCAAGAGTTAAGGCAAAATACCTGTTGTCTCAGCACTGTTGATTTTTCCCCCCTCCCCCCAGAGTGTCCTGCCATTTTTTGTTGTGACCAAGCTGAGTAAAATCCGACGGGCTACGCTGGACAAGCCCAGTCCAGAGCGCTACGTGTCAGCTGAGCTTAACACGGTGGGGTTACAGACCCAGACTAATGGCTACCTGCCCCATGCCATTATGGTAAGTCTTGGTATGTAACAAACAATCTAATGCAGGTACATGTGGTGTATTCTTTTCCATTCTTACCTCTGGGCTTCAGTTTGATTTTCACTGAAAGCATGCCTGTCTTTTGAAATGGATGACCAGTTACTCAACCCGTGTTATCTAAAATTTGTGAAGAAAACTTCCTCACATACCTCAGGTGAAGCAAGATTACAAAAACCGACAAAATCAGTCTCCATTGACAAAAATGATTTAAAACAGTAATTTTACCACGCTGAACATGAGAGCTGCTGGTCTTCCATTGCCTCGATTGGTGGTTTGTTTGTTTGTTTTATTGTGTGTCTTCGGTGAATCTGAACCAACCTCTAAAACGGTGGTTCCCAACTGGTGGGTCCTGGTCTAAAAGTGGGTCAGGGGTCCATTCTGATTGGACCGCAAACGACTTGCAAATGTGTCAACATTGTAAAAAGCACACTTTATTTTAAAGTACAGTGAATTTATGGCACAGAGCTGTTATGTTGAAGTGCCATTTCTTGCTGTAGAATGAGTGAATAATAGACAGATACTTGACAGAGACAGTGAAGAAGGCAAGGCAACGCAAGGCAAGGCAATTTTATTTATATAGCACCATTCATACACAAGGCAATTCAATGTGCTTTACAAAAGAAATACATTAAAAACAATAGATCATTAAAAACAAGAGCTAAAAGCAAGAAAATAAACAGTTAATAACAGTGCAGAAAATGCATTTAAAAAGCAAACATAAAGCGAAAGCAACAGCAGACAAATATAAAAACAATAGCTACAGATTATCCTAAGTTACATATCTAGTTCACTGGTAAGCTGCAGTAAATAGTAATGTTTTAAGCCCTGATTTAAATGAGCTGACAGTTTCAGCCGACCTCAGATATTCTGGAAGTTTGTTCCACAGGCGGGGAGCATAGAAACTAAAGGCTGCTTCACCTTGTTTGGTTTTGATCCTGGGAACACTGAGTAAACCTGTTCCAGATGATCTGAGGGGTCTGGATGCTTCATAACGTACAAGTATATCAGAGATGTCTTTAGGCCCGAGACCATTTAGTGCTTTATAGACAAGTAACAAGATTTTAAAGTCTGTCCTTTGACACACAGGAAGCCAGTGCAGTGACTTAAGCACTGGTGTAATGTTCTCCACTCTCTTGGTGTTGGTGAGGACTCTGGCAGCAGCGTTCTGGACGAGCTGCAGTTGTCTGATTGATTTTTTTACTCAGGCCTGTGAAGACACCGTTACAATAGTCCAGCCTGCTGAAAATGAAAGCATGAACAAGTTTTTCTGTATCTTGTTTAGACAGAAATTCTTTTATTCTTGCTATGTTTTTAAGGTGGTAGTAGGCTGATTTAGTAATTGTCTTAATGTGACTACTGAAATTTAGGTCTGAGTCCAGAACTACACCAAGATTTCTGGCTTGATTTGTAGATTTTAGTGTCGTGGCGTCAAGGTGAGCACTGACTATTGATCTTTGTTCTTTGGGGCCAAAAACAACTATCTAAGAAGCTCTTACGGGCCGACTTACGAGAGAATCGCCGAAGGACTGACCAGCCGCGGCTTCCCTCCCACGTCACTGTTTACGTCACACGCTGAGCTACACGTTTTGTTACTTGCTCACGCCCCCCATTGCCCCTAAAAAGGCTGTATAATATATATGTATATGTATTCTGTATAAACAAAAGTAGGTAGGCGGCATTTTGCTGCACTCCTTGATTTTGTTTTTATACTGCCAATGCTGAAAGAAGACTGACTGGGCTTTCCTGCAAATTTGCACAATTCCTATTTAAAAAGGGCTTTTGATTAAAGAGAGGTCTGGACCCAGTGGCTGGACCAGCTGGGAACCACTACCCTAAAACACCAAAGTCATACAGTTACACAACCCCTCCAAGGTGTTGCAGTTGCAACAGTTAACACAGATTCAGCCAATCTCTGTGAAAACTGGGCATCCTTGCAATTTTGTCCAATCACTGCAGCTTTACTGAATCACATTTCAGACTGCTGCAGGATTTGTGTAACTATTTCTGGAAAAACAAGGACATAAAACTTCATGATATCTCTTTGTTCATGATATGCAAACATAAAGACAGGCATTAGATGCTAACTGTTCTGTCATTTGCATGTACTCTAAACTGATCACCCAGAATAACTCAAGTTCTGCTGAAAGTGCTTCAGCTTAACATAAAATCACACTGCAGGCCACATCTCCCCCTGCACATTATCGTCCATTTATATACTCAGCAGGATCAACTGAAATGTACCTTGAGTATCTGATGGCAGTAAAAGGTAGGGGGAGCACATAAGAGTGACACCATTTTAACACAACTGGTTTCTCTGTAGCAGTAATCGAGTCAGAGTCGAGGTCTGTCGTGGCAGCAGGACAGAAACCTCATCAGGCTGCTATTTCGTATTATACAAAAGAGCTTCTACCTGCTCATCTCCATTCACTGAATTTATGTTGTGTCAACAGTTGCTAAAACATCTATCACAAGGTAAACATCATCTGAAATAATGGAGTGGGATGCTCCAGTACCCTGCAGTGTTGCCTGCATCCTAACACAGTAATTACTCTGTAGAGACACGAGCATCAGAAAAAAACGAGACGCAAAACACAAGTTCAGATTATTTCCAGGAGGTGTGTCCGTTTTAACAGAGGTTACTGAGAGTAACAGTCACTCTCTCCCTCCAGTTACTCTGTGCTGTGTTGAACTGTGTGACCTGAATATCAATGATCATGTTTATTGATATACACATAAATAACAACACCATCCGTTAGAGTATACAGGTGGTCAATAAATCATTCAGCATATAAAAGCCTTTGTGGATCCTGTGCAGTCGACAGTTATTTTGCAGACGTCAACTGGGCACATATCTCTCCTGTCATCCACCCTTACATTTCACTAAACCACGAGCAGCAGACCAGTAGCGTCTGCTCTCATTATCTCATAATCCCTCTCCGTTCAGATGTGCAGTGCAGCTCTGTCCAGCTCCCAGTCATAATCCACAATCCAGTTATAATCTACAATTCACCAGTATGTCATTTATTTAATCCCAAACATTCTATATGTTCACAAACAATAACTGATGTTCAGTCGTCTTTGCTGTAGCTTATTTATTTATATATATTTTTGGGTTCACAACAGGGATGGTTCAGATTTTTTTGAGCTGGGGTCGTATGAGGTACTCATCCATAGTCAGTGTATTACCTGCAGTAGATGGTGGTTGTCAGTTTGGAGAAGCAGACAGGAGTACCATCACAGAAGTGCAGCTATGTACCGCTGTGGATGGTTGTCTGCAGCAAAATGTATTTTAGCCACTTAAATAAAAACTTTAAAAAACTGATATCAGTCTGAGTTAGGGCTGGGTGGTATAATGACTATGTACGATATATCGATATATTTTTAAGCAAGATATAAAATTATACAACACCATTTATATAGATACAGGGTTAAGTTGCACTACATGACACATACCACTCTCCGCTCTCACACTCTCCGCACAGCTCCACCCCACTCACTTACTCACAGGTTCTCCAGGAACACATTTTAGAGCCGTAGCCTGACGTGCACCTCCCCAGAAAAGTAACTACATGTCGTGGCGACGCAGACCTCCTGGCTATTTTTGTAAGCTGAAACCATTTCCCTCAGTGGAAACAAAGCTTTTATTTACTTTAATTTCACAGATTAACAATAAATTGTGAAGACAATAAAGCCTCCACAAAATAGCATTTTCAGTCTTGTGTGTGATTTATCCTGGCTTCATATGAACAGAGGAAATCGCCGCTCATCGCAGGCTACTTTGTAAAATATAAAATGCCATAGGCTTGTGCTAATAACGTTAGCATGTTATATTTGTTTGGAAAACGTGTTTAGTGTAAGACAGTTGTTTTGTTGGTGAGCTGTAATGGAGCCGAATTTTGGTACGTTACCTTTGTTAAATGTTGCTGTTATTCCTGGTTTTATATGAATAAACGAAAAGTATGCTAGCTGCTAGGCTAATTTATACAATGTAAATGCCATAGGCTTGTGCTAATAATATTAACATGTTGTGTTATGGGGAAATGTGTCCAGCAAAAGACAAGTTGCCTTTAATTGATAGGATAGTGAAGTGTGAAAGGGGGAGAGAGAGAGAGGGAGAGACATGCAGCCAAGGGCCACAGGCTGGAGTCAAACCCGGGCCGCTGCGGCAACAGCCTTGTACATGGGGCGCCTGCTCTACCACTAAGCCACCGACGCCTCTTTTAAGCCATGTTTAATCTGTGTTTTGAATCAATTATACTTGACAGCACTTCACAGAAACCCCACGGTCGGCCAGTGTTTTGGAGGTGTAACTGTTGTGCAGCTGCATATTTTCAAACGGGGATAAAATCCATGTCTTTGCATTTTATTTTTAACAATCTGTGTTTTATAAAACTGCTTGTGACATCTCAAATGTGGCTTTGACTTGCAGCTGAAAACATGGACCCCATTTCATAGAAAATACCAAGATATATGTCGTGTATCGCCAGTTAGCCTATAAATACAGAGATATGAATTTTTGTCCATATCGCCCAGCCCTAGTCTAAGTGGACCCTATATTGAAAATTTTCACCATTTCACCTTGCTGTCAGACAGCTTTTGCTTTTGGCGCTACATTTCCCCAACTATAGGCCTTCCATGTTCCTGTGCATGGGCGCAACTGTACTGTGCACTGTATAACACCGCAGTACAGCTGTTGAGGTCAGAAAGTGCCGTCTACAAAGGAATAAAAACAGCTGTGGCTAGTTGCACTGAATATAGACATCAACACTCTACCTGTAAGCCTGAGACAACTTGGCGTTCGCAGTAACGTTTCTCTGAAGAGGATTATGTAAAACCACTGCCAAATAAGTGAGAGAGACACTTACTGAAGAGCGCTGCTGTGCCCAACGTCAGGTAAAATAACACTAAACACCTACAAATAAATTAAACGACTCACCAAACAACCAGGAAAGTGTGAAGCGCTGGCATCTTCTGATTCAGAAAGATCCTGAAGTTGTGTTGAAACCAAGTCCCACTCATGGCAGCAGTAGCTCTCTGGGCATGCGTTTATAGTTTACACAGTTTGCCTGTGCTCTTTTTTTGGCCTCCAGTTTCAACAGAAGTTCCCCCTCTCCCAAATTTTTGGCCGTTCAGTCTCCCTCTGTTGAAATTCTTCTCCTGTATAATCCAGTTCACTAACACAGTGGTTCTCAAATTGTGTGCCGTGAGATTTTGTGATAATCACACTGGGTCTATACAGAAAGTTGTGAATTAATTTTTAATTGACTATCAGTATGTTGTGCTTGTATTTGTTGTTGCTTCCGTAAAACGCTGAAGGCCTGACCTGAACAGCTGACCTGCGGCGTAATATAGTGCACAGCATAGTTGTGTTTATGCATTGGAATATGGAAGTTCTACCATTGAGAAAATGTAGCGCCAAAAGAAAAGGGCTGTCTGATGGCACGGTAAAGCGGTGAAAATATTTTCCGGCCACAGCAGTACATAGCTTAGCTTCTGTGGTGGTACTCCCATCTGCTTCTCCCAATTCAGAGCGTCCTGACTGCTATCTACTGTAGGTAATACACTGACTATGGATAAGTACCTCATACAGCCCTGTCCCTTTAAGATTTAATTGTAAAAGACCTGCAGTAATAAAACTAAATGGATATAGAAGTGAAGGCTGCTTACAGAGATGTGTCAATTTGGAAAAATAACATTCAGCTTTTAAGTAAGCAAGAGCATTCTATAGGTAATTAATTGAATATGGTAATAGAAAGTCAATGAAAGAACCATTTATGATGCTTCATAAAACTGCTCCTTACTTAAAAAGATTTAAAACAGTGGGGGTTTCCTCAGAACAGAATCAACCGTCACACTGTCACCTGGGAAGCTTTTGTAAACTGACATTATGGCTAAAGCCGAAAAGATTTTATCGCTGTAATTTGAAACCTACGAATACACCATATGTAAAAATTAGTTTGGTGAATTTGCCCAGCGAGAGAAGTTCACCATATTTTAAAACTGACTATAAGGTTTGCCAAAAAATTAAGAGATTTTCTCTGCAGCTTTTGAAAACATTACTGAGATAAGGTTTAAAGGTTTAGTGTGTAAGATTTAGGGGGATTTAGTGGCATCTAGTGGTGAGGATTCCAGATTGCAACCAGCTGAAATTTGTCCCAATTAGAATTCCTTCAGTGTTCAAGAGGGTTTTACTGGGAGCTGTATTATCTGCAGAGGTCGCCTTCCTCACCCAAAGACTTGGTGATTTAAACTGGTAAAAACACTGAATACAGTTTCACATTAAAAAAAAATCTGTTTTTCAGATGCTTTCTTTGGGAGCTACTGCCATTTGTGGTGGTCGATGCCAAAATGCAAATGGCCCTATCTACAGCCAGTGTTAAATTTGTCCCTTCTGGGCCACTGTAGAAACTTGGTGGTGCCACGTGGTGATCTCTGTAGATGATATAAACGGCTCATTCTAAGGTAACGAAAACACTACAATGCTTACTTAAGAAAACTTACAATATATCCCCATGAATCCTTCACACTGAACCTTTAAAAAAAGTTTTTGTAAGATGTGCAGCTACTTTAGAGACCTGTGCCAAAATGGCCGTAACAGCACAGGCATTAAAACAGCTCAATTGCCTGAATTGTCCTTTGCACGAACTTGCTCTCCACAGTTGTTGCTCCTGTGGGTTGGAAATTAATAATGAATGCTAATCTGTTATTTGTAAATGCCACCAGCTGACCATGTAATTTCCCTCTGTAGGGCTGGGTGACTACAGCTCTGCTCCCTGCCAAGATCCTCAACAGCCACGTGATGGGGATGGGTTTGTCCCAGCGCGCTCGTTACCTTAAGAAGCAGAAGCAGGGTTAGATGGATCAGCGGCGGCAACAGGCAGAGGGGGACCAGCTGTGTTAACGACTCGTCCGACTACCATCATCATGGACCATGAAGAGAAAATGTGACAGTTTCTGGGCAACATCTCAGTTTCCCTTCCCTCTGATACTCCCAGTCATAGATGATGTGAGGCAGCATCTGGCCACGGTTGCCGTTACATGTATTCAATCCAAAACAGTTGTGTGAAAAATACTGAACAAAGTGGTGCTCTTCATCGAGTGATCAGCTTTAATGAGTGGAACACTAACATGGAAACTAAAAACAATTCGCCAAGCTATCCATCTGTCCACAAAACATGATCAAAAATTAAGGATATAGATGATTTGGATGTGAGGTTGGAGGCCTCTGTATCTGTGTATACATTGGGGTCTCCTGTGAGTATGTGAACTAGCTTTTAGCTATGCTGACTAGCTTAAAGCTATGTCGTCAAACACTGGAGGTGGTTCTTTCTCTCTAGAGCACTTACACAATGTTTTCTCAAGGTTTAAAAGGTGGCAGTGGGTATTTTGTGACATTAATAGCTTCCTTAATCCCTCCATTTTCGGCATTTGTTTTTCATTTCATATCAGAAGTTTCAAAGCACTTAGATTTACACCTTTCTTGTTTGCTTTTTTCATTTTAACATTTTCCTCTGCAGTATTGATGTAGTGGTGAAGGGACCATATGTTTGATTTAACAAAACTGCGTTTCATCTCTTTAAAAAAACAAACAAACAAAGAAAAGAAATTAAGAGGAGGCTTTGTAGATGAATAACCACCAAAGAGGGAGAAGTTTTGGTGAAGTATGGAAATGTGTGTTTTGTTCACAAACCAAATTGATTCTAAAACTCATTCTTACAACTGCCTGTTATTGCCTGGCATTATACTCTCTCGCCGGAAATTCTTAAAATCCCAGAAAATCCTCCCAAAATACACTTGATCCCGATATAATGAGTGGTTGGTCTGGTTGAGTGTGTGACAATAAATGTGTCACATCAACAGTAATCTTGGATCTTTTCACCTGCATTGTTGAATTTACTGAATAAAGACCAAACCACATGTGCAGACGAGACAAACCTGTGAAATAGTGTAAAATCTCTGATATTCTCTTTTTGAAAGGTGCGTGTATGTTGAGTTTGTGTGTTCCTAGAGTTGTAGTCTCATATCTCACTTGTCTTGGCTTTAAGTTATACTGTATTATGTAGAGGTGTAGACTTGGACTTGGACCTAAGTCAGACTTCCATCCATCCATTTTCAACCACTTATCTGAAGCCAGGTCGTGGGAGACGCAGGCTGAACAACATATTGCAGACTTGAGTCACAAATTTGGCGACTTCAGACTTGACAAAATAAAAGACTTGCAGCTCGACTTGAACTTTAACACCAGTGACTCGTGACTTCTCTTGGACTTGAACTTTTTGACTTGAAAATACTTGATACCTTCCCTCGAGACAATTTGGGAAGAGATAGTAACAGACATTTTCCCAGTATGAGATAAGGTAAATACAGCAAGACGGGACGGAGACCAAAGAAAACAAAATTCATTCTGTTGGGCTAGTCGACTCGTTAATAGCACTACTTGTTCTTAGGATACTCTTGTGTTAAAATGGCATTACATTTGGTGAGGAGCCCAATATCACTTGTTTAGGACTCAGATCTCTAAGTTTAGGACTTGGGACTTGACTCTGATTTGTCTGTCTTGAATTGGAAATTTGTGCAAACCTACTTGTAACTTACAAAACAATGTCTTTGTCACACTTCTTGCATCGATTCCTATAGAAAAGTCAGACTCGACATTTCACTCGTACTGACTCTTCATGTGCAGCAGCAGGGGAGCAACTTTAGTTATTCGTGTTTTCCTCAAAGGTACTGGCATTAGGTTTTAGGCATACTCCTAATTCCTCGGGTGCATGCTGTTTGGGGTGAAAGCAGAGCAAGACACAGCACCTAGGAAACTATATTGCATTTGTCCTTCCAGCCATCAATAAATCTCAATTCAAATAACCTGAGTCATCTGTCTGTTGTGACTTCTTATCGGTTTCACCTTGTGCTTTGACTCATGTGGCTGTGAGTTTCAGAGAATGGAGGGGACATGTTTCAGCCTATTTTATACTGAATTCATGGGAAGGCCTGATAAGAGAGCAGCTCTTGTTTTAATTTCTTATTTGACGTTTTAATTAGAAAAAGCTTGGAGTCAGATATCGCATATAAAAAGTGTATAATGTCTGTAAATCTGCCAGGCGGCATCTCTGTCAGATGCCATCACACCCAAACATTCATAATAAAAAGTCCACAAACTCCTCCGTTTAATAAAAATGCCAACATGCCCATATTTTATATTATATCCTCTAACAGCCTACCAGTCAGCCCATAAAACTCTCTTCAGTGGTTTTACCACAATTCGTCATTTTCACAGTCCATACAAATGTGTTGCTTTTTCACGTCCTCCCTCTTCCCTCCCAAACATCACCGTCCGGTTCCCATGCCAACAGTTTCTGGGAGATTATTCCGGTGCACTAGTATGGAAGCTGCGGAAATGTGTCATCGCTGCGAATGTAGGAGGGGAGAGGAGATCTGTGTGTGTGGAGGGATGCCCAAAGGAAGAAACGAGTGGGCTGCAGAGATGTATATAAAGAGGAGCTCGGTGGTGCTCAGAGTCCACCGCTCGCTCAGGCTCTCACACACACTCTTTGATTTCACAGCAGAGTTTCAGAGCGAAGAGCAGATTGGAAAAAGAGCAAAACAGGATCTCTCAAATCATCTCTCATCAAGCAGAACCCTCAGGACTGAATATTAAACAGCTCTCACTGATTGACTATTGTATTTCAGATATTTTTTTTTCTGCTTCATCTCTACCAATAGGCTACTTGTGGAGACAGGTGATCAGATACACAAAGAATTCTTGAACTAAAGGCTTCAAATACCACATCCTACGACCACATCTTCTCTAGAGCTTCACTAACTCGTCATCCTCACATTCGGGGCCACTGTTCACCATGGCGACCAGCATGGACACGCTCCCTGCCCATCTGCTGCCTTTGGTGATGGAGGAGTTCCCCCAGTCTCTGGCCACAGCTTGTGTCTGCAGGGCTGGACAACGCGAGCCCCGCCTCCGCTGTGTGCAGTGTGGCATCATCGAGGAGGAGGAGGAGGACTGCTCCACCCTGGAGGAGGACCAAGCTCTGCGGTCCTTCCTGCAGACCGTGGAGAGCCTGAGGAGGAGCACCAGATGAGCTCTTCCAGAGGAGGTTTCAACATGACTGTTTGACCTATTTGGCTTCCCTGCAACCAGTTTGGAGACGGACAGATGTCTACAGTGTTGCGAATGCAGACTGTGCTGACTTTAAAGCTGTGTCGGTGGTGATATTTTGATAAAAGTCACCACTGATGGACTATACATGGCAGTGGATGAGACTGCACTGAGTCCAGACACTTAAGAACTGTAATGGAGCGCTTTTGAGAGCTAGTCAGAAGATGCTGGCAAAGAACCACTGTTTTCCATGTGTTATATATATATTTTTAAAGTGAATATGATTTGTTGTAAAGTGATTTTCTGCAAAGCTTTACTTTCCCAGTACCAAGTTGATATTGTATTATTAACACAATTGCACTGTTTTCTTATTGTTCATATCGCCTGCTGCTAAGATTTTAAATTTAATATATAAAGCTGATGTTATAACATATATGTGGTGGTCTGACTCCTCTATTATTATAGTTCAAAAGTGTTAAATTTAATGTTGACAGCTTATACACACTTTAAACACCAAGCTTCTTATTATTGTTGCTCGAAAACCAACACTAGGAGCTGTGTGTTTTGAGGTGAAATGTTGGCTTACAGAAAACCATTAGAATCTTTCAGGCCTTTCCATGTGGTGGCACTATTGATACACTTTTTTGAGCTAAATAGCACAAGCTAAACTGCACTACACAACAATCCCTCCTCTCAGTCCGGCCTAACTGCATTATTAACACCTGCAATCTGTACATTAGCCCTGCTATTTTTGATATCACGAACCATGAATTTATTTTGGCTTTAACTGTTTAGAGACACAAAGGAAAGACACAGTCATGAATCATGAGGCCACAACACATAAATCCCCCAGCTATCACGCAGTGCATTCCTCGGGCCTCGAAATAAAAGCAAAATTTCACCCTTTTAACTGTGTGGATTCTTTTATACCACCCCCACCCCCTCCACACTCCCACCCCCACCCCTGTGACCAATTCATTCTCACCGTCTGTACTATCGTTGAGGCAGCCTTTGCACAGTCAAGCTCTATGTCTCATCGTCTTCACACACTAAAGAATTTGATGCTTTTCAGTTTAAAAGGCAAAAATAAACAATCACGAAGCTGCCATTACAGGATGAATAAGCAGTTGTTTGAATCACGGATATATTGGATTGCACTTTATCAATTTCTTTACAATTTTCAGAAAACAGCAAAAAATATTTCTGAAAAATACCCTCTGCAGATGTTGGCTACATAAATGTATTCAATTACAGATATTGTATGCCAGCTGCAGCCTGTGTAATCTTGGTTGTTATGGAAATAGCTGCTTCTTTGTGAAGGGGGGCTTTTTAATGCTCAAGAGAACAAGTCTTTTCACTTCTGTTTTCATCACTTAATTCAGTGATCACTGCAGTGGTGTTGAAGTTTGAGGTTGTTTTTCCTCCGAAGCTTTGTGTGGTCCAACAGACTTGAGTCCACCCCTGTTTTGTTTAATCATTTATAAACACTTAATCTAAATTTAATTAACTAATGAATAAAGCTACTTCATCAAATTATACTTTCTCTACAAGATTACATAATGTTGTTTTTTTTAAACTAATTAGATAAAAGAGTTTTGGTTAATATTTACTGAAAGTCAAATCCTGGATATTTCCTCCACTATAATTGACTCTAGGTGTGAAGCACTGATGCACAAGTAAAAGTTATTTGAAGCAATGTTCTCTGCAGCCCAAACGACGGAATAAATGTTGGCATTGTATGTTTAGTTATGACATGCATGTTTCATATGTAGCAGATATACTGAAACTTTACATATCAATTTTGTCAAAGTGTATGTTGTGACAATTCTGTGGTTAATGTGTGGTTAGGTTCAGGCACAAAAAACAAGTAGTTAAGATTGGGAAAAGATCATGTTTTGGCTGAAATTAAATGTCCTGACCTCTTTTTAAAAAATACCCTTTGTTGCTACAAACACGGCTGGAAATGTCCCGACCTATTGTTAAAATAATACCCACCTTTGTCGCTACAAACATGGCTGAAAAATGTCCCAAACCTTTATCACAAAATTCCTGCTTTTGTGGCTACAAAAAATATCCCAACCCATCGTCAAAAAATACCCACTTTTGTTAGTGCTTTTGCAAACATGGCTGGAAATATTCCAAAGTGTTGCCAAAATGATACCTGTTTCTGTCGCTACAAACATGGCTGGAAATGTCCCATCCTTTCGTCAAAAACACTCGCTTTTGTTTCTACAAACATGGCTGGCAATGTCCCAAACCATCATTAAAAAATACTCATTTTTGTCGCAACTAACATGGCTGAAAATATCGTAACCTGTTGTTAAAATAATAGCCACATTTGTCGCTATGAACACAGCTCCAAATGTCCCAAACCTTTATCACAAAATTCCCGCTTTGTGGCTACAAAAAATATCCCAACCCATCGTGAAAAAAATACCCACTTTTGTTAGCTCTTTTGCAAACATGGCTGGAAATATTTCAACATTTTGTTGAAAATGATACCTGTTTCTGTTGGTACAAACACAGCTGGAAATGCCCTTATCTGTCATTAAAAAATACCCACTTTTGTCACTACAAACATGGCTGGTAATGTCCCAACCCATCACCAAAAAATTCCCGCTTTTGTTGCTACAAACATGACTGGGAATGTTCCAACCCATAATCAAAATACCTGCTTTTGTTGCTACAAACATGGCTGGAAATTCCCTTATCTGTCATTAGAAAATACCCACTTTTGTCACTACAAACATGGCTGGTAATGTCCCAACCCATCACCAAAAAATTCCCGCTTTTGTTGCTACAAACATGACTGGGAATGTTCCAACCCATAATCAAAAAATACCTACTTTTGTTGCTACAAACACAGCTGGAAATGCCCTTATCTATCATTAAAAGATACCCACTTTTGTCACTACAAACATGACTGGAAATGTCCCAACCCATCACCAAAAAATTCCCGCTTTTGTTGCTACAAACATGACTGGGAATGTTCCAACCCATAATCAAAAGATACCTGCTTTTGTTGCTAGAAACATGGCTGGAAATGCCCTTATCTGTCATTAGAAAATACCCACTTTTGTCACTACAAACATGGCTGGTAATGTCCCAACCCATCACCAAAAAATTCCCGCTTTTGTTGCTACAAACATGACTGGGAATGTTCCAACCCATAATCAAAAAATACCTGCTTTTGTTGCTACAAACACAGCTGGAAATGCCCTTATCTATCATTAAAAGATACCCACTTTTGTCACTACAAACATGACTGGAAATGTCCCAACACATCACCAAAAAATTCCTGCTTTTGTTGCTACAAACATGACTGGGAATGTTCCAACCCATAATCAAAAGATACCTGCTTTTGTTGCTAGAAACATGGCTGGAAATGCCCTTATCTGTCATTAGAAAATACCCACTTTTGTCACTACAAACATGGCTGGTAATGTCCCAACCCATCACCAAAAAATTCCCGCTTTTGTTGCTACAAACATGACTGGGAATGTTCCAACCCATAATCAAAAAATACCTGCTTTTGTTGCTACAAACACAGTTGGAAATGCCCTTATCTATCATTAAAAGATACCCACTTCTGTCACTACAAACATGGCTGGTAATGTCCCAACCCATCACCAAAAAATTCCCGCTTTTGTTGCTACAAACATGACTGGGAATGTTCCAACCCATAATCAAAAAATACCTGCTTTTGTTGCTACAAACACAGCTGGAAATGCCCTTATCTGTCATTAGAAAATACCCACTTTTGTCACAACAAACACGGCTGGGAATGTTCCAACCCATCACCAAAAAATACCCACCTTTGTTGCTACAATAAATATCTCAACCCATTGTCCACAAATTGCCACTTTTGTCACCACAAACACAGATGGAAATATCCCAACCTGTTGTTAGAATAAAAGCCACATTTGTCGCCACAAACACACCTGGAAATGTCCCAAACCTTTATCACAAAATACCTACATTTGTCGCTACAAACATGGCTGGAAATGTCCCACCTTTTTGTCAAAAACACTCACTTTTGTTTCTACAGACATGGCTGGCAATGTCCCAAACTATCATTAAAAAATACAAATTTTTGTCATGACAAACACGGCTGGAAATATCACAACCTGTTGTTAAAATAATAGCCACATTTGTCGCTAGAAACACAGCTCCAAATGTCCCAAGCCTTTATTACAAAATACCTATATTTGTCCCTGCAAATACGGCTGGAAATGTCCCCACCCATCATCAAAAAAATACCTGCTTTTGTTGCTTCAAAAAAATATCCCAACCCCTCCTCAAAAAATACCCACTCTTGTAACTACAAGCCTGTTGTTGAAATGATACCAGCTTCTGTTGCTACAAACACAGCTGGAAATGCCCCAACCTGTTGTTAAAAAAATGCCCACTTATGTCGGTCTCAAACAGTAGTCGGCTGCTTGGCAGCCATGTCATCTAGGTATCAAACTCTGCTCATGTTATATCATCTGAACTACGTATGAAACATGAAAATGTAGCATATGCGTGGTTTGCAGAAACCTACGGTGCCAACATTTTATTCTGGCAACTGTGCTGTCCTCAAGTAACCCTTAGATTGCAACTGTACATCTAAGAAAAAGTTTGCTTTTCATTTACAGCCATGGTTTCACCCATACTGAACATCCATCTCTGTACAAGCACACATTTTGTCCAGGAGCAAGAGGTTTCTGGAGTGTATCCCAGGACAGGTCACCACTCTATTACAGGGCTAACACAGACAGACAACCACACTTACACTGACATCTATCGGCAATTTACAGTTGCTGACCTGTATGAATTTGGGCCGTGGGAGAAAGAAACCCACGCAAATACAGACAATTCACTCATTAAATTCAGAAGAGCTTATTCATCGCCGCAGGCCAATTTGCAGAGGCATACTGAGCGGTACAGTGAGACAATACAGGAAAACTTTTAAAAAATACCTAAAAATGCGAGGATAAACTGTACACAAGGAAAGTAAACGGAAAGAAATTTGGTTTCAAATTCAGGACATTGTTGTTTGGAGGTGACATAAGTAATATTGATTCTATTGGAGCATTTCTCAAAAAGATTTTGTTCAGTGTCCTGAGATGGCCTGCTACCCCAAATCTCTGCTTGTGTGACTAAATGCACACACACACACACACACACACACACACCAGAGCTGAAGACACCCTGCATGCTGCAGGGTTTCTTTAGCGTGCTGTCCTAGATTAGGGTACTGTAAGAAAACTGCTCAAATCTCCTTTTTGATTAAGGATATCCCTCCTGCTGTGAAGCTCTGTGGAATGATTGTGACGTTTTTAAAAGATCATTATGTAAACACAAAAAAGACAATAGCTACATTTTCTACGATGATTGGTTGTTTGCATGGCAGGAAAGCATTAAGACAAGTAAGGAAATACTTTAACAGTGTGATCTTTGCCTCTGTGTTTTAATGTGTGTAGAAAAATTAGACATTTAACAGTTTAATTAACTTGTAAATCAGGCCTTGAGCTTTTCGAGTAAAGAAAATTGAATGCACTTTGTTTTATATTGTCGTCATGATATGAGAAAAAGATTATTTAGTAGAACCTTTAAAATGTGGGTTCAAAGATGAGTGAGGACAGCAAACATCCAGAGGTCGACAACAGGCAATTTATTTATCATATAGGCTACTGATAAATATTAATGTTTGTTTTCTAACTAACCCCTGGCCACGTCATTTTTGCAAAAGTAAATTCAGTACCCCTGCACTAAATGTACATAATATTATTGTGTCAATGTGCTTAGCAGTCTTTACATTTAATGTAACAGTATTCAAAATTCAATCAGCAATCAGGTCCACTTGAGCTCCACTTTAATCTAGGGGAAAAGGAAAACAGACTGAAAGGTTTATTAAGGGACTGTTTTTACTCATCAGACGATGGGGGTGGCTGAGGCAGAACTTCTCTTTTTAATTATTTTTTTTTTCGACCCGCACTGAGGCTACAAATGTTTTCCATACTCAGTAAATTGGTTATTAGATGTTTAACTCACTCTTTGACATTTGAAATTTAAAACTTAAAAAGTTGAAGATGTAATCATACACCATGCTGTAGTAGCACAGAGCACACCTGAAACTTACCCGGTCACTCTGCTGGGTCAAAACGTTTGCATTCACTCGCAGCAACTGCTCCTCTAATCTGATAAGCTCTAAATAGTTCGATATATTGATTATCCGCTGCAGAAATAAAGAGGTCATGGAGAGCTCCGCCTGCGCTGCATTTACAGACACATGAAAATCTCTGAATTTAAAGAGGGGACACAGAATGATAAAAGGGAACACACAAGCATTTAAGGCCCGTTTCCACCGCAGGAACTTCAGGGTAATTTTACGGGGCCGGGGCCCTTGGTGCGTGTCTCTACCGCAGGTGGAACTTTTACAGGGGCTAAGTCCCTGCTTCGGAGTAGGTAGTCAGAACGGCCCGAGAGACTCCTGGCTGGGCTTGGGGATTACTTGGTGCTGATTGGATATACTCAAGGCGGGATGTGACGTTTTGTAATTACTATGGTTATCGTAGATTAGCTGGGCTAACCGTTAGCTGTTAGCCTTTATTGGTGTCCGTATTAACTCATTAACTCAATATATGGTCCATGAAAAAAATATTTTTTCCAGCAGATATCTTAGTTACAACATGATTGAGCTAGCAAAGCAGTTTTATGTTGCTATATGTGACATTTATTCAGTTTTGGGAAATCACAATGTCTAGAAAGCATCAGCTAACAGGGACAGCTAACAGCAGCAGCAAAGCTAACATCAGGACGTCATCTGTTTAAAGCCTCCTGTTGTTGGATACAACATGAAACTACTCCAGTTAGCTCAATCATGTTGTAACTAAGACATCCGCTGGAAAAAATTTTTTTTTCACTGACCGTTTATTGAGTTAATACAGACACCGCTAACGGCTAACAGCTAACTTCGTCCCTACGTCGCCCCGGTCAAAATGGTCGTGCAACGATTACGTCACATCCAGAGCCCGGTAACTTTACAGGAACCTTCCTCCTACTCCGCTCTCTCAGTGGAGACACGGCGGTTGAGAGGGCCGAGCGAGAGGACGTTTCTGTAGTAGTTCCTGCCCCCCAAATAGTACCAAGAACTTCTTCAGAGGAAACGGGCCTTTAGATTTGGTTGTTTTTTTTTTTCCTGATGGAAGTGTGTTGCACATGGTGTGTTCAAGGACTGTTGGTAATTTGAAAATCCAATGATAATATCTGTTTTTACCAAATGGTGTCACTTCTTCTTAAAAAATTGACAGTAAAATTAATATAAAATGCAACCATTTAAACGTGTAGGCCCCTCCCTTAAGCCAAAACAACAAACAGCCCAAGTGCTTAAAAAATGATTTGACATGCCTCCCCCTTTTTGCACCACCCCTACCCCCTACAAGTAACGAACAGTCCCTGAGGATGGCGCAGTAAGACAGTGAGGTGAGGCTGAAAGCAGCAGTAAAGCTAATACGTTGACCCTCAGGTTTTTACTTAAGTTACACTTAAGTTTTAATTGCGAGGTCAAGGAGGAACGTGATCCCTACCCCGCTGTGGGTCACATATCAAACGCACCCTTTTCATCATGGCGGCGGGTTTTTAAAGTGCGTGACGTAATCTCTACCAGGTGTAGGTGTGTTGCTAATTAGCAGCTGTGTTGTGCTCACCGCTGTTGTTCATGTAGCATATCATAAACAGGCTAACCTGCAGAGTGTCCGTTAACGTGGCTTCAGGACGGCGTTTTAGAGGAACAGTGATGTTTGTGCTGCAGCACAGGTTCAGTTATGAGTTATGTTTGTGATATCAGCAGTGGAGCCGTCGGCTTTTTGGGACAGTTCAGCACCGTGGGGAGTTTTCATGTCCTGCTGTGGAGTTTACTACAGCAGCACCTCTTCAGAAAGAGCCTCTCTGTGTTTCTGCATCGCTCCATCAAGGTAAGTTTTTCTTCTTCTGCAGATATTAAATACACAGTTACCTGCTTTATCTGCTGGCTGCCAGTAATATCTGTCCTTCTGCTTTCTGTCTGTCTGTGCAGCATTTGCATTGTTATTTATTGTGGAACTTGTTGAGCTTATTTTTCTTTTGTTTGTTGTTTAGAATGTGCATCATTATCTCCTCATCCTGTAATGAAATATGTTAGGGGTAGAGGCATGGGCGGATTGTGAGACAGTGGACCCCTGAGCACATATGCAAAAGGCCCCACCACCCTTCCAACACAAGAGCAAAACACACAGACTTTGTGGTCATGTTGTGTCTTTTTTTAGGTAATTATTTGTCGTTTTTTGGTCGTTTTGTGTTTCTTTAGCCCCTTCCCACTGCACAAAACCCCACTAACACCTGCCAACATCTGGCTTTTGTATGTAATGGGAAAGGTTACAATCAGCATTTAAACTAGGACAAGTGACTTTGCAGTAGTTATGGATATTCATTGGCTCTGGCTCTGTTTGGCAGTGATAGAAATTAGGGGTGGGTGATATTACAGGGTGTTTTTGCGATAACAATATTCTTGACAAATTAGTAAAAGAAAAGATAATGATGATAATAATAATAATAATAATTAATGATAATGAATGTATATATGAAATATTTATCTATATATTTAAGAAAAATAGAACTGCAGCAAAACAAGTGACATAGTTTAACATGTTAACAAAAATGCAACACCCAGGTGAACCAACTAATTTTTACTATTTACGATGGGATGCAATAAGGTGCCACCACAAAATATCATCTGTCTCCAGCGCTCAAACATCGATCCAAATTAGTCAGCACTGAGTTTGAAAGAGAGACAGCGTAATTAAGAGATATATTAAAGGAAGTAACCACCGTAACATTACTTTACTGGCCTCCATGCTGCTTTTTACCAACCTGGAAATCCAGTTGACCCGCGCAGCAAATTCGAATTTGCTCTGCACGGGGATCTGGCCCTGACAAGCAGAGCCTGGTGAATCGCCATCGGACCAATCAGATCAGTCTATGTGACAGAGGCGGGCTCTGGGTGGGCACAACATGATGACGACAGCGCTGCGCCGTAGGAGTCAAAAAGTAAACAGCCAAGATGGCAGCTGCTGAAGGACTGCGTCCATTCAGTTTAGCTTTGGAAGAAACGCTAAGCCAACCACACTTATCTTTTTTCTTGAGAGAGGAACAGAAGACTGCCCTAGAAGCCTTCGTTTCCAGGAAGGACGTTTTTGCTGTTTTGCTGACGGGATATTGCAAAAGCATAATTTATCAGTTAGCTCCACTGTTCGGCAAACTAATGGGGTTTAGTGCAATGAATACGTCACCTTGTTTTTTGCTCTGATTGGCTGTTGTGCTATCCAATTATGTGCGGCGGCATTTAATATGCCTCAGTTAGTGGCGCCCCTTGGGTAGGAAGGGTGTATCGGTGAGGGCCAGACTCAAAATCTTTCTAGATTTGAGTCTGGATTTCCAGGCTAGCTTTTTACTGTTTACTAACCTGATTTCTGGCCCCTCTGTGATGTTGAATGTGACACACCAGTAAAAAAAAAGACAGAAAGGCATACTCATCTACTGCAGAGCCCTGTAAACGGTTCTAGTCTACTGCCAATATTTAACTAGTTTTACTGTGTTTAGAAAACCTGTAAACTGCACTAATCATGGTGGAAAAGGAGTATTTGTAATTGTCTTGTGTCTCTTTGATGTAATTTTGTGTGGGTTTTTTGGTTGTTTTGTGTCTCTTTAGCCCCTTTGTAGTGCACAAAACCCCACTAACACCTGCCAACATCTGGCTTTTGTATGCAATAGGAAAGGTTACAGTCAGCATTCACTTGGGGTCAAGTGACTCTGCAGTAGTTACAGGTATTTATAGGCTTCTACTCCGATCTACAGTGATTGGAACACAACGCCCAGGTGAACACCCTCATTTTTGCCCCTTTATCTGTGTCCATCCAAGCAGCGCTTGAACATCGATCCAAATTAGTTGGCACAAAATTGAAAGACAGACAGCGTAATTGATATATATATATATATATATATATATATAAAAAGAAGTAACCACTGTAACATTTTTTTTACTGACCTCTGTGCTGCTTTCTGCTGTTTACTAACCTGATTTACGGCCTCTCTTTGATTTTCAATGTGACACACCAGTAAAAAAAAAGACAGACAGACATACTTGTCTACTGTCTGTCTGTAGTTTGTAGCTCATATTTAGATGGAAAAGGGGTATTTGTGGCAGTTTGCATCTCTTTGTGGTTGTTTTGCCTGTGTTGTGTCTCTGCAGCTCATTTGCATTTTTTGTGGTCACTCTGAGTCTCTTCCCTGTCAGTATGTGGTGATTTGGGTGACATTTTACAGGTGAAGGCCCGGGGGAGCCTTTGACACTTTGTGGCCCTGGGCTTGTGCCTGGTGGGCTCGTTCAGTAATCTATCCATGGGTACAAGTGGTTTTGTGCATATTTCAGCCTAAACTGGTTGTTGCTGTTGTTTTGGGATGGTTTACTCATTGAAACCTAAAATTTAATGCCTTTAATGATGTAAACATAACTGTTGTTTTAGCCACAGTCCATGATCATAATTAATATGTGCTTCATTGAAAACTGAACCTGCTTAATTTCTTCACATACATCATATTCAGTGACCAGTATAGATGCTTTTTAACTCAGTGAAATGGGCTCATGGTGTATTTCCATACTATTCTTCTTATCATAATTACATCTAAACTGCTGAGCTCCCGTGTTGAACACTGCTGCTTCCTTCATTGTTAACCTTGTATCTGTGCTGATGGTCATCTGCTTATCGCTTTATTTGATATGAGGAGATTGTCTGCTCCAAGCTTCAGGTCTTGTGATTTTAATATGTATAAATTCCTAATTATCTGCTGCGTAGCTGATGTGTCTAAGCCTGCTGCTGCTGCTGCGGCATATCCGGTGGATTGCTGGGTGTAGATTCATCCATCTCAATTCACTAAAAACTATATTCCCCTCGTGGTGTAACGTGCCCAGCAGGGAATGGCAACACGGTGGTTGACGCCGTCGGCCAATTTGCTAACTCTGCTGTAATGCTGCTGCAGAAACCTGCTCCTGCCGCCGCTCTCTTGTAGCATTTTATAAACCCCACCTTCACCCCAGCATCCACCTGTAGGCTCAGAGTCTAAGTTCCCCTGGGGGCAGTTTATTATCATCACTCCCCAGTTGCTGCTGTGCTGAGGTTGGTGTTTGCTGGCTGGGAATGACGAGCTCAGAGTATAACACCACATATCAACTCCGAACATACTCCTCGTTCACATAATAAATCTGTTCTACGTGAGTTGGCTGCTGAAAATAGTTATACATCTAGAAAATTAATAATATGACTCATTTAGTTTTCTTTAGCAACTCTAAGGGACAATTTAAAGAAGCTGTTTGTATGATTTAGGGGACATTAGTGGCATCTAGAGGTGAGGATTACAGATTGCAACCAGCTAAAACTTCTCCCTGGTAGAGTTTCTTCAGTGTTCATTGTTCAGGAGGTTTTTACCGCGAGCCAAATTATCCACAGAGGTCTCCTCCTCTCCAAAACAAAAGGACCAGATGATTAAAACTGTTAAAAACACTGAATAAGGCAGTTTCATGTTACACCTGCTAATGTGTGCTCACCTTTTTTTCTGATAACTTAACATCATCTTATTTCTGATCCAGATGTTCAGGAGGTTTTTACTGTGAGGAGAATTATCCACAGAGGTCCCGTCTTCTCATAAACAACAGGCCTGTTGATTTAAACTGGTATAAACACTGAATAAAGCAGTTTCACGTCACCCATCAGTGTTTTTTTAATGGCACACTTAAGCTTGTCGGAGGCAAGTCGCAAGCCAGGGTTTCCCACACACAATACTAACATCTGGTGTCACATTGATTTCCTATGTTAGAGCTGGAATGTTCATTAGGTGTACTATTGGACTATATATACAATTTGGTTATTTAACACACCAAACTCTCGGGGCGCAGAGCGTACTCTCGGTACAGATGGAGCAGCAGAACATCAGGTGCAGTGGTAGTTATGCTTCACCATTCATTGCAGTGGTTCTTGCTTCCACTTTAACTTGCTTCTGTAGCAGTTGTTACTGTCATCCATTGACCTGACTTGATCAGCTCTGATCGGATTGACGAGTCAGTTATCCACCTCCATAATCAAGCTCAGAAACCAGAGAGGGGACACAGAATGACACAAAGGGAGACACACAAAAAAGGAAAGTTTGCTAATTTTAATTTATATTTTAATTTTGTGGGAATCATGGCTAGCCCAGCACCCACTAATGTGTACTCACCTTTGTTTTCTGATAACCTGAGATCCAGACATGTAGGAGGTTTTAGGAGACCCGAGGTCTCATTTATAAAAATTGCATACGCACAAAACGAGGCCTGAAAGAGGCGTATGCAAAAGTTGTGATCTATAAAGACAGACTTGATGGGAGAAACTTTGACCCATGCTTACAAACACTTTTGGGCAACGCAGATGGTGGTGGAAGCCTGATTGTAGAAATTGTCAAATATTTTTTGCTGCACGTCAATCTTGGCTTTTGTTCGTACGTACATTTTTAGTATGGATCATACGCACTGTTTTATAAATGAGACCCCAGGTGATTTACACTGGTAAAAACCCTGAATAAAGCAGTTTCATGTGTTTTTCCAACGCTGCTTGTAGCAAAGGGGCTGCTAATTACCTCCACCAAGGAGGTTATGTTTTCACCGGTGTTAGTCTGTTTGTCTGCAAAATAACTCAAAAAGTTATGAATGGATTTTTATGAAATTTTCAGGAAAGGTGGATAATGGGACAAGGAACAGATGAAACAGATAAAATTGGTGGTGATCGGTTGAAGCAAAGTGGATAAAATAATAAATAAAGTCCATCGTCTGACAGCCTCAGCAGCAATTCCAATTTCTAAAGACGGTGAAAATAGCTGGAAGCACGTCTTGTTCTACTTGCTAAATATT